TTTAATTTATTTATATAGAGTACTTAGAATAAATGGTGCCTAGAATGTGTTAAGTGCCTAGTGTGTGCCTGTTTTTGTTGGTGTTAATACTGTCATCCTTGCTGGACTATAGAGTTAGCCTCCTAACTGATCTCTTGGCATCCTTCTAACTCCTTTCATCTGTTACACTGAAGCCAAAGTTTTTTGGAATGTGTGTGTCTGACCTCTATTTAATACTTAAATGACTTCCTGTAGTTCTTTGGATAAAGACCCAAATCCACATTTTGTCCTCCAAAGGCCTGCGTGGCATGGCTTTCACTTCCTCTCTAGCTTCCTCTTAGTTCATATTTCTACTTGTGCTCAATTCTTTGACCACTCAGCTCTGCTGTTGGCTTCTCACACTTAGTATGTTTGCACTTGTACCTAGGATGTTCTCATTAGGGGCCTTCCTGAATGAGTTAATTTCTATCAGATTGTATTTCATATAACTTATAGTTATCTTTTTTTTCTTTTTCACTTTTTATGTCTTTATATTTTTAAAAGAGTAAAAAGAATGAACATTAGAAAAACAGAATTTTACTAAAGATGAGAGAAATTCAACAGTGATTGTTATATTGCCTGTTGTCCTCAAATTTGTTGTTCCGACTACCAGAAAGAAGCATGCAAAATTGGTTAAAAAATTAAAGAGAAAAAAATAGCATTAATTATTCCTTTCAATAGAACAGTAGAAGTCAGCAGTACAGTTGTCCCAGCATATATAATTCTTTTCTCCTCTTTCTTTCTTTTCTCCTTTCCCTCAAGCCAGTTCTTCCTTCCCTTTGAGCAGTTTCTTTCCCTTTCACAGTATCTGTTGTACTTTTCAGATTTCCTCTTTCAGGTTCTTACACTAGGGAGACAATATGGTGTATCTTGCTCTTTTTTTTCTATAGCGGTATGCTATAAATGCTACCAGGGCGAAATCTGTTTCCACTTATTACTTTCCTCCCAGTGCTGACCTTAAGAGCCTGATGCTTTACAAGTAGTCAATATTTGGATAAATAAGTGAATGAATGAAAGAAGGAAAAAAAATTCAAGTAGCTATTCCAATTACTAGGTATAAGCATGAAGAACTGATCAATTAGGTATTAACTGTTCCTTTCAATAAACCAATAGAAATTAGTGGTATAATTATCTTATACCCACATTTTGCCCCTCCTCCCTGTCCCTGTCCCTGTCCCTGTCTCTGTCTCTCTCCCCCTCCCCTTCCCCCCATGCCTGTTCTTTCCTTTTGAGCAGTTTTCCTTTCATAATATGTACAATATGCAGTATAACAATCGTGGTTAATTTTCTATCATCTTGTTTTGAAATTCTGTATTTTTATTTATTTTTACTTTAAAAATAAGAATGAAAAACTACACACATTACATGTAGGCTTGTGATGTTTGAGCTACAGAACAGGACTTTTTCTGAGGCAGAATTTTAGAGTGAACCCTGCAAGGGGGGCATACTAGAGAGGAGAGAGCAAAATTTAGGCTAGAAATACCTGGGGGAGAATCCAATGTACCACTTATCAGTAATGTTATTTTAAGACTTTTTCTTTTTCTTTGTAAAATCAACACGATTGAGTTATCTGATTTATCTACTATGAAAATTAATAGCCAGTGAAAGCTCTTTTGGTTCTTTTCAGTGTAGTTGTTGTGATTGCCGTGTAACAACACATGCTATGCATGCTGTACTAACTGCCACTTGGCAGTCCTAATTATAGACTCGGAGAAGTTAAAGGGATCACCATACTCTTTTGATTCAACCAGTTTTCTAAAGTAGGTGAATAAGTAACAATTTTAGACATGTTTCTGTTACTGAGCCTCTCAAACATGAACTCTGCAAAGAAACCTCCTCTCAGTTTGTTAGAAAGGAGGTGGCAGTTTTCAGATGAATACATAGATACACTAATCTTGTTATTATTATCAGATGTTTATAAGTTCTTAAATCTTTTCTTTCTAGTTCCAATCCTGTGCATATTCTTGCTTGCTTGGTAAGGTCAAAAAGAACCTAATATACAGAGATGAGATAGCCGGATTCTAGTCCTGTGTCTATTAGTAGTTTTCAAAAAGGATCACAAGTTTCTAAATATGTTTGCATAGTTGTCATATCAGGGCTAAGCATATCTGCCTTCTCATCTTCACAGGTTATGTGGATTAAAAAAAATCCTGAGAGAATAATAAACACTTTCATGTGTGAAAGACATTATTTTAGCACCCCTCCATTAGGACACGTACTGAAATCTGTATGATGACTTCTAAAATGCTCTTTGAGACAGGGTCTCACTGTGTGGCTCAGACTGGCCTTGAACTTGCTATGGGACCTACGCTTGCCTTGAACTTGTGATCTTTCTGCCTTCAAGTGCTGGAATTATAGATACGTGTTTCCATGCCAGTTAAAATTATGTCTTTAAAATTTTGAAAAATCTTGAGTAGACAGTTTGTGGAACCGGGGATTGAACTCAGGCCCTTGCGCTTGCCAGAGAAGCGCTTATTCCACTGCGCCGTCTCCCCGGCCTGAGTAGACAGTTTGAATCAAGAACATGTGTGAGATTTACAGTTTTTTCCCTTCACTTGCAACACATTTTCCTTTACTTCACTGAGCTTAGTTCTAATAGCTGTGTTTAACTATCCTTGTCTGATAATTCTGACATAGTCATCTTGGGGTTATCTTCTACTGATTGTCTTTTTATTTGAGGTTGGACTTTCCTAGTAATTTGGGAGGACTGTATTCCATGCTTCACAAATGTTATGTTGTAGAGACTCTGGGTTGTATTGATGTTTTCATTTTAGCAGGCACTTAGACTAAAGACTTCAAGCTCTGTCATACCTGTAGTAGGTGTCAGTTCAAATCTTAGTATTTTTTTTTTTTTTTTTTTTTTAGCTGAATATTTTTTTAATGTATTTCATACAGAGTCTCACTGCACAGCTCCAACTCATGGTGATCTCCCTGTTTTCAGCCTCCCCAGCTAGTGCTGGGATTACAGGTGTGTACCACCATGCTTGGTCTCAATCGTCAGCTCAGTGTGCCCGGGGGTGGGGCTGGCGCGGTCTGGTGCCAGGGATTGAACCCCAGCCCTTGCGCTTGCCTAAGCAGATGCTTTAAGTCTGCTGAGCTATTAGGCCGGCCTGGAATTGGATCATATTTATACCTTTCACTTTGAAGATAGAAGAAATAAATGACATCCAGAAGCAAAGAAAGAAATCACAGACTACTAGCTTTTACTTCTTAGAAATGAGAGAATATCGACTATTGAAAACAAATCAGGATTATCTGGAGTTCCTGTTTACTTCACTTTTGGCAGTGCATCCCATCCTGTTTTGAAGAGAACCCCCCTACTCCCCAGCCTTAGTGACTTGTCAACAGAATTGGCAGTGGGTGGTGGGTGGATTAGAGTGTTTTGTTGTTTTATTTTTTTAAAAGCAGGGTGGTAGGCATTGTTAGGGCTATAAAAACTGCAGTGGAGATACAATTTTTTTTTTTTTTTTAAAGCAGGGAGAATGCACAAAATTTACTACATGCCTAAGGCATCAGGGTTATTAGATTATCAAGACCCAAGTTTGTCTAGCAGAGAAAGGTGTGTGTGTGTGTGTGTGTGTGTGTGTGTGTGTGTGTTTGTGTGTGTGTGTTTGTGTTTAGGATGGTGGAAAGAGACAGATGGCAACAGGGGTAAGACAAAAGGTCTGTGGGCCTGTCTTGAAGCTGTTTGAATAGCAGTCACACTTGCTTTGCTTCAAGTGACTTTTCTAAAGGGGGCAGAGAGAGCTAAAGCTTTTTTCTTGTTCACCTGAGCCATCCATTGGGTGCTGCCCTTAGTATACTTTTTTTTTTTAACTGTCTTTCCTGGCTGTTCCTATTGCTTACCAGGTCTTAATTTGAGGCTGCAAAAACTCCATTTGCTCATTTTTAAAACAGTTTGAAAAGCATCTTACTGTTTCTTCATCTTCTATTCCAGCTTTCTGGGAGGGTCGAAGCAGGAATGGATTGATTCTGTTGTGTGCATGTGTGCTTTGGGTGGGTACGCATCAGGTAGTGGGGCAGCAGAATTGGAGGCAGCAGGTGATAGATGAGGATGTGTAAGGGGGGCTAGGCAGTCATGAGGAAAGGGGTATTTGAATGTGAGACCACATGCAAAAGCTTTAGGTTACTGCTAATTAGAAACCACCCTGTTGAGGAGAGGTAGGAAGATTTGACCCAGGCCTTGTGTCTCTGGTAAGTCTTCTGTGAAGTTAGCAGTAGTCAGAGTCAGTAGATCCGCCCGCCTTTCCAGTTCTGCTGAGGAGACTGCCCATTATAAAACTGGAGGGTGATGTGCTGACAGAGCTGTCTTCAGTTCTGACATTTGGTAGTTCAGGCTCTCTTGAGGACCAAGTTGAGAAAGCATTGAAATGACTTGGGTTTAAACTCTGACTGTTTACTAAGCAAGCTGGAAGACCTTGGACTGGTCACTTGTCTTCTCAAATTTAGATTCTGTATCTATTAGGTAAGGATATAACATCATATTATTGTCTCACATAAAACATAGTGCCCAGAATATGGTAGGTAAGATAATCTACCAATGTATATTGTTCTTTTCTTATAGTCTTCCAGGGCATTTTATATTTAGTAGAATCCTGGCTTTACTCCCAAGTAATTGTGTGACTCACTCTTTCCAAGTTTCTTTCCTTCCTTATAACAAGGGCATTTAGCTAGTTGATTTCTGAGATGCTTCTTGGCTTTCATCCACATGTATAGACTACCAGGAAATATGCAGGTCTGCTAATTTCCGAAAAGATAACTCATCCCTGAGTTATTCTGTTAGGAAAAGGGAAGTCTCTTGGAACCAAACTTCTCTCCCCTGGAGAGTGACAGCCAGGTCCCTTCAGTGTCAGGTTGTAGATTCCACTCTTACTTTTTGTCTTTTCTAGCACTGCACTGTCTGTGAAGGCCTTTGGGTCAGCTTAGCCTTGATATGACTCATGCTTTACCTATGTCTTATTTTCTCTTTATATTCTATGCAGGTCAAGAGCAACTGCCATTGAAAGATAGTGACTGTTTCAGCAAACATTGGAGGAACAGCCAGAAGTATTGACAGAAAGCTTAAATTACCTAAATGGTAAGCGTGTTGTCTAGAGAAGTCCCTTAGGGTGGTTTTTGAAACCTCGTGGTTTTCCAGTGTGGCAAAGGCAGGGAGGATAGTCCCTGTTGATGATGGCCTGTTGGGAACTGCACACTAGGCTGTGTACTTTTTTTTTTTTTTAAATTTGTGTGTGTGTGTGTGTGTGTGTGTGTGTGTGTCCAGCTCAGCCCACCAGGGGGCGCGGCTGGCTGGCATGTGGTGCTGGGGGATTGAACCGCGGTCCCTGTGTGCTTTGCTAAGCTTGTTCTAAGTAGGTGCTTTAGACCACTGAGCCATCTCACCAGCCCCTGGGCTGTGTACTTTTTTTAAAAAAAACCTCTTTTCTCCATTCATCTTTCAACCTGATGAGGGTAAAAATATTTGCATGAAGTCAGTGACTGTAAGAAAAGAAGCAGGCCCACAACTACCATTTATTGAATATTTACTGTATGTCTGTCAGGCACAACCCTGTTTGACATGATCTCCCTGAAGATTTATTCTACTCCTTGAAGTTCCTGTTACCACAAGGACATGAGCTCAGAGAGCTTATAAACTTCTCCGTGTTCACACAGGCAGTAAATGATGCAGCTAGCTTTTAAACCCGTGTTCTTTTCATTATTCTGTGTTTCCCATTTTAAAAACTTTTTGAGTGAGATAATGACTGTAAAAAAACAGCAAAACAAACAGGTTAAAGGAGGTTTTAATCAACAAGTACTTCCTTTTCCTCATCTTCTCAGGGTTTGGTGTGCCTTTGCTTGTTTTTCTTGGGGAGGGGGCGCTTTAAAATTGTTTTTTAAATTTTCAGACAGGGACTCACTAAATTTCTCAGACTGGGCTTGAATTTGTAATCCGCCCATCTCACCCTCCCAGACTGCTGGGACTGCAGGCACGTGCCACTGTGCTGTCTGCGTCCATACTTTATTTGCTGGGGTTCATGAAGACAGCAGAAAGCACCACACTCAGCACCACTGAGACAGGTGGGAGGGGAGTGAGCGTCCGGCAGTGAGTGGCCAAGGGGCCTTGTGGGTGGCAGCTGGTGTTTGGTCTTTTTATCATAGCTCAGTACTTTTTAGTATACTTGATGAAATTTGGGGGAAAATGTCCATTTTTTTTTTTTTTTTTTTTTCCCCAGAACCGGGGATTGAACTCAGATCCTAGCGTTTGCCAGTCAAGCGCTTATCCTACTGAGCCATCTCCCCGGCCCCGAAAATGTCCTTTTTTTTTTGCAGAACCATGGATTGAACTCAGGCCCTTGCGCTTGCCAGGGAAGCGCTTATTCCACTGAGCCATCTCCCCGGCCCCATCCAAAAGCAAAACTTATACGTATCTATTTATATGTGTAAAATCTTCATGGGGGCTGTTTTGATGATAAAACACATGACTACTATCTACATGCCTAGCACAATTTTTTTTTTTTTTTTTTTTTTTTTAAAGATAGGGTCTTGCTACATATGATTCAGGCTGGCCTTGAACTCATTTATTTATGTAGCCCAGGCTGGTCTGGAACTCACTGTGATCCTCTTATCTCAGGCTCTTGAGTGCTGGGATCACAGGTGTATGTCACCACACCTGGCTCTAGTACAAATCTTAATGGCTCAGTATATCATTAAACAAAATAGAGAAAGCCCTTGCCTGTAAGAATTATATTCTAATGGGTAGACATGAATAACTAGATATTAAATAAAGTGAGAAATAGGTAAATGACATCCAGGTGATAGGTACTGAGCAGAAAAAAGGATAAAGTTGGTAGGGAGTGACAGGGAAGCTAAGGAATTGCTGCTTTATATAAGATGACCTGGGAAGCCCTCTAGTGAGATAATATTTTAAGCTAATTGAGAAACCCAGCCAGGGAAGAATATTTGGAAGAATGTCATCTCTGGCAGAGGGAGTCTGAGATGTAAAATCCCTGAGGTGTGTTACTGAAGACCCAGGGAGGCAGTGTGACTGGAGCAGAGCTGTAGGGAAAGAGCGGTGGGAGGCGGGAGGCAGAAGTAACAGGACCCAGGAAACACATTTGGAGGAGGACAGCTTATTCTGTGAGGTGGGCGCCAGGGGAGAGTTTAAAGCAGAGAAATGACATGATCTGACTTAGGGTTTTGAAGCCTTACTCTGGGAGTACAGACTGTGGAAGGTGAAGAAGGGCGGGCCGTGGCGGGAACAGGGAGACCATTTAGGATGGTTCTGCAGTCGTTGGTGGTGTGTGTGCCCATGTGCTTGGGAGTGGCTGCTTGGACTAGAAAGTAACAGGTTTAAGACCTTCTTTGAAGGCAGAGTCAAATTGATTCTCCTGATGAAGATGTTGATTTATCTGGAGTTAACCTCTGGGTCACGTAGGTTTGAGGGCATCATTGGGAACTTGCCATTGATCCCTGGCAAAATTTTAAAATTTATTGAGGAAAACATGAGAATATAGTGATTATTAGAAGGCAGTTTATACTTACTATGTTATGCTAACTGGTAATAATTTTTTTCTTTAAGCTTTGCCTTGATTTTATTTGAACTATAAAATTTTACAAATTCATTATAGAAATACTGAGAAATAAGGGCTGGCAAGATAGCTCAGCAACAGAGTGCCTCCTTTGGCAAGCGCAGGGACCAGGGTTCGATCCCTGGTCCTGCATGCAGTGCTGGCCCCGCTCCCAGGGCATGCTGAGCTGGTGACCGAGTCTGGACGTGGTGGTACATGCCTGTAATCCTGGCGCTGGGGAGGCTGAAAACAGGAAGATCACTATAAGTAAGAGCAGTGTAGTGAGACCCTGTACCAAATACATATAAATGGGGTGGGGAAAAAGAAATACTGAGAAATAAAGATAAACAAAAAACAAAATCAAAATCATCTTTACTATCCAGAGAGAATTAGCATCTATCTGTCTGTCTGTGTCTGTCTCCTACCTACCTACTTGTATGCGTATCTACGGATCAGGGCATTTCATTTTTGCAAGATTTCTTAGGCTGGAGGAGCTCATGTATTGTATAAAATTAAAGTATCTTAAATGATAAAATTAAACATTTTATATCTTTTTGTGTGATCCCAACACAAAGAAAATCTTGACCTGACTTTGGAGCTGAGTGAACAACTATAGCAAGCAGTTGTGGGTGCTGGGCTGTTGGGCTGTCCGTGATCTGGGCCCCTGACTTCCCTCTCATCTCCCACTGCTGTTTCTGTGCCGCTCCCCCTCAGCCACTATGGCTTCTTTGTGGGTCTTTCAGATGTGACAGCACTAATGCCTCAGGGACTTTACCTCTGTGACTCCCTTTTCCCAGGATGCTGTTTTCCCGAATATTTCCCTTGCTGTTTTAGATCTTAGCTAAAAAATAAGTCTCTATCTAGAAAAGCTATTTTTATTAACATTCTAGAGGCTATTTTTGGTTGCATTTTGTTTAGCAACTTCAACATCAACTTAGATGAAGATAGAGAAAAGACAAACTTGTTGAATTTTAAATAATGAATGTAAGCTAGAGAGTATACAGAATATTTAGGTAAAGGATTGAAATGAGAAGTTGAAGTATAGAAGATAATAAATAATTTAAGCTAAGACTGAATGACACTTAATATGGGCCAGGTATACTCATGTAAGTGCTTGTTTGTGCTTACCATAACCCTATAAAATAGGAATGGAAACACAGAAGTCAGGTGACTTACACAAGGTCACCCAGTTAGGAATTGAAGCCAAGGGTTGAGCTTAGGATATCTTGCTCCACAGTTTGTAATAATCTTTAATCCTTGCAACATACTGCCTGCAAAAGAAATATAAAGCCCTAGATTATTGAACTTAATTAGATTTAACAGTATGCAGGGAAGTAAGTACGAACCTCAAAACTGGTAATGTGGCTGCCAGATTAGCTCATGCAATCCTGAGCTTTGTTATTAGATCTGGATAGACCAGATCATCTTCTAGTTCCACTTCCAGGACTTCTTCAGTTCTTACCTTGACTGTTA